ATAGATAAGAAATGTCTTAAACTCTTCAAAAGCCAGTTTCATGGCTACTTTTTCCTGAAACAGCAGACTTTTGCAGTCTGGACTAAACCTGTAATTTGGCCCTAAAACATTAGAAACAACATGGGGAGTTTCTCTCATCATTAGCCACTTTAACTAAGCTTTTTCCCTGAATAACTTCATTAAAAAGGACAAAACTATCTTTATAATGAATATCAGCAGAGCTAAAAGTCAATCTATGTTAAAAACATAGATAGGAAACATCTTAAACTCTTCAAAAGCCAGTTTCATAACTACTTTTTCCTGAAACAGCAGACTTTTTGAGTCTGGACTAAACCTGTAATCTGAGGCCTGACAGCTTTATTTTGAATATCAGCAGAACTAAAATTCAATCTATGTTAAAAAAATATAGATAGGAAACATCTTAAACTCTTCAAAAGTCAGTTTCATAGCCACTTTTTTTAGCAAACTAAATCTGTAATTTGGCCCTAAAACATTAGAAACAACATGGGGGGCGATAGCTGGAACTCAGGGGGAGTTTCTCTCATCATTAGCCTCTTTAACTAGGTTTTTTCCATTAATAACTTTATTGAAAAGGACAAAAATGATCTTTATATTGAAATTAGCAGAGCTAAAAGTCAATCAATGTTAAAAATATAGATAAGAAATGTCTCAAACTCTTCAAAAGCCATTTTCATAACTACTTTTTTTTCCTCAAACAGCAGACTTTGAGTCTGGACTAAACCTGTAATCTGAGGCCTGACAGCTTTATTTTGAATATCAGCAGAGCTAAAAGTCAATCTATGTAAAAAAAATATAGATAGGAAACATCTTAAACTCTTCAAAAGTCAGTTTCATAGCCACTTATTTATCAAACTAAACCTGTAATGTGAGTCCTGACAGCTCCAGGAGCAACGGGGGCTCATGGGGGAAAAACCGCTCTAAAACCAGCCTCTCTTTATTCAGATAAGAGCTAATGACCTGTGGAGATCTCTCTGAGGTGAGGAGGGGCTCAGGGGGGCAGCTATTTTTAACAGCCGTTAACCTCTGGATGATGACACGGATCCGGAGGGACGGAAACGGGAAAACAAGCTCTTCTCTAATCCAACAAAAAGAACCGCGTCTAAACTTATTTCAGAAAACAACTACAGGAACAAATCTGATTTTTAAAGGAAGAGCTGGTCTCAGAACTCAAGCTGGAGTTAAAATAAAGACGACTTCTTCTGTTTGTTTAATTTGGAACGTCAAACCTTTTCCATTATTTGAAATAAATCAGTTTTACGTAACAATTAAAATAAGGCTAAAGTCTAACAATATTTACTAATAATAAAATTATATAAAGTAACAGGAGATAAATGTTTGGTTCTCCATTCTTTCTGATAGTTTTCCTTACATTTTAAAATATTACTTTCAGTCCAGACTTTGAAATTAAATAGTTTCACAGAAATTTTCTTT